TCAAGACTTCACAATTCGATATAGAAGTGAAGGAAGGAATCTAAAAGTGACTGCAAAATTTTTTTCTGTGTGAAGAAATCACTCTGTGCATGGAGCATATACCTTTGGCAAAAACAGTTGTAGCTTTAGGGATTTGGTGAAGCAATAAGTTTTTCCCTTCACATGGTCAAATATTTTTTTTCCACATTTCAATTTATTTATTTATTTTTAGTTTTCAACATTCACTTCCACAGGATTTTGAGTTCCAGATTTTCTCCCCGTCTCTCTTCTCCCCCCACCCTATGACCGAGTGCATTCTGATTACCCCTTTCCCCAATCTGCTTTCCCTTCTATCACCCCTCCTACCCCCTTCCCCTTCTATTTTCCTGTAGGGTAAGACAGATTTCTATATCCCATTGCCTGTGTATCTTATTTCCCAGTTGCATGTGAAAACAATTTTTAGCACTTTTTTTTAAAACTTTGAGTTCCAAATTCTCTCTCTTCCTCCCTCCCCACCTACCCTAATTGAGAGGGCAAGCAATCTAATATAGGTTATACACGTATAATCATGCAAAACACTTCCATAATAGTCATGTTGTGAAAGACTAACTATATTTTCCTCCATCCTATCCTACCCACCCCCCCAACTCTTTATTCTATTCTCTTCTTTGACCCTGTCCCTCCTCAAAAGTGTTTGCTCCTGATTACCCCCTCTCCCAATCTGCCCTCCCTTCTATTACACCCCACCTCCCTTCTATTACCCCTCCTCTCCAAATGTATTTTTAAAAAGCATTTACTAAGCATTTGCTTACTAGTTGCCCAGCACTCTGCTTAACACTGGGGATATGGATTTTTTTTTAACTAGTCTTTGCTGTCAAGGAGCTTACATTTCTAACAAGACAACATATCCAGGAGAGTGGTACCTAGAGGGGTGGTATTTGTTCTGAGGAAGTGGAGGGAGAAGGTCCACACTCGGTAGCAGGTAGGTGACCTAAGATGGATGACTGAATAGGAAGTGAAGATGAAGCATAGGCTGATGTCTAGAACCAGCCAATAGTTGGCTAAATGGGCTAGTTTGCACACGCTCAATTACCAATCAACTCTGGGTTGGGTCCTCGGGTATTGCTTCAAAGAGGAGTAGATGAACTTCTTCAGTTACTGGGGCCCGGAATATAGAAGGTCTGGTGAGAAGATCTAGGTATTAGCTAGTATGGAGGGTACAGTCTAAATGAATAAGAGCAGGTCAGGCGTGGCAAACAAATATGGAGTGAGATGGCCTGGGTCAAATAATCAGAGGAGGGATCTGGACTCTGACTACTTTCCATATCAGACAAAGACTTACCTAAATACTGAGAGAGCAATCAGGGGCTTCTATGAGCCTTGAGCTAGAGTTTGGGGCTGAGGAGGTTGAAGCATGAAATGACCTACTGTATCTCCCAAACCAAGTAGAGACAACCCCAGGATGTCACTGGAGCAAACTCTAAATCCATCCCCTAGATTGAGGATTAGCAATGGATTCTCTTGTGTAAAACTGGTCCAGATCAACCAAATCAGGGGTGGGGAACCTGCGGCCTCCAGGCCACAACTCAAGGCTGCAGGTTCCCCACCCCTGAACCAAATTGACATTCCTCTCATCCCCTGCTTTACCTTGAAGTAGATGTGTTCTTTGGTCCAGAGATTCCTCACTGTGGCTTTGAGTATAAGGACTACCTTAGAGTTTCTAAAGCCACTCGGTTGAGGATGGTCCTGATTAAGAGATGGTACCTAGGAGCATGGTCTTTTCTCTGCATATTCTAACCTTCCCCTAGTCCTAGGTGGGGAGGGGAGCATATATCTGCAATTCCTTTGCCTACCTATGAACTGATAACTTCAAAAAGTATCTCTCTGATTCCTACTTAATAATGAGAGCTCATATTTATCTATGACTTTAAGATTTACAAATCAATCAATAAACATTTATGGTACTATGTGCCAGGCTCTGCTAAGTGCTGAGGATACAGAAAAGGAATACAAAGGAATACAAAGTGCTTTTGTTGTAGTTCAGTTGGGGTCCTACTTTTCTTGACCCCATGGACCACAGCAAGCCAATATTGCCCATGGGGTTTTCTTGGCAAAGATACTGGAGGGGTTTGCCATTTCCTTCTCAAACAGAGGTTAGTGACTTGCCCAGGGTCACACATCTAGTAAGTGTCTGAGGCTGCATTTGAACTCGTCTTCCTGACTCCAGGCCCAGTGCTCAGTCTACTACCCTACCCAGCTGTCTCAACGAGGGCTTTACATACAGTAATTCTTTTGACCTTCACAACAACCCTGGGATATGGGAACTGTTTTACCACCAGTGACGGTGACTCAGTGACTAGGGGAAGTGGGGGAGGGAAGGTGTTAAGATACTGGCCTAGGGCCACAGCTTTAGAAAGTGATTTCAGCAGAATTCAAACCTAGGATTTTACTGACTCTGGAGTCACAACTCCACACTGCTTCTCTGTCATACAGTGTGTTTGGGAATATGTTTTACTTTAAGTAAATTGTTCTTAAGCTTTTGTGGGTTCATCTGATCTCAAGAGCCTGGGAGAAGGCACTATAGGCTACTTGGCACAGCAGCTTATCAACAAGTTATGTGATTAACAGGATTTTCCTCATGGAGCAAATACAGAGGGAATTTCTATAGGATCCTAGCCATTTGTGCCTGGTGTTTTGTTACCTCCTCTGATCTTGGAAAAGGCTTTGCTAAGGGCACTTGATTTCCTGTTGCTCAGGAGCTAGGCTGGGCTATCCGCCAAAATAGTCAAAAGAATACAAGGAATCGGCCAAAATAGTCAAAAGAATACAAGGAGTAAGTGAGTTTACATGGACAACTCAGTTGCCTTGCTCCTTGAATTCCTTGTTGAAGCTCCCCTTTCTACCCTCTCCCCCTTGGTACTATCCTATAGAAGACAACATTCAGATCTCTAAAGAATTCTGAAATCCCACGTTTGGCTGCTAAGCCTCAGTTGGTAGCCACAAGCTCTTGCCAGCTGACAATACCCAGTCTTTTGCATGAGTTTGGGCATATAAATGGATGGAGGGAAGGATTTTTCATGATGCTTCAGCATCTGAGGGTGAGTGAAAAAAGATTATTTGTTGGATAACAGGGTATAGAAAGCCTGAGACCACCTTCGATTAAAACACTAGCTTTGCAAAGGAGGTAACCGAGAGTTCCTCTTGAGGAGAACAGAGAAAATGGTATAAATCATCTTTACATCTAAGGGGCTATTGGGTTTTGAAAAAAATTTTTTTTTGATTGCAAAGCTGAATTCTAACTTGTAGGTTTGGCACTTTGAATCCTCTCTCTTCTGTTTTAAATGGATCAGTTCGGTAGCCCCGGCTTCTGGACTCCTCTTTTGCCAACTTAACTTCAAGGACTGCTAGTGCTATTCTGTCTGGGAGATCCTGGGTGGAACCCAGCTGCTACAAGGAGACGGAACAGAAAGCAAATTCAATTTATCCTTAAGCATTAACTCCTATTCTGAGCAGAGCATTGTGCTAAAGTGATTGTGTTATCACTAGGAGAGATTAAAAAAAAAAAGTTTAGCTAAAACGTAGCTCCCATTCTCCTAGAGTTTAGTCTAGTATGAGAATAATACAAACAAAACAACTGTAATATATCACATACATAGTAAGTGCATTAAAGAGATGTAAAACATGGTGGGCAGTGAGGTGGTACAGTGGATAGAGGGCTGGGCCTGCGGTTAGGAAGGCTCATCAATGTGAGTTCAAATTCAACTTCAGACACTTACTAGCTGTGTGACCCTAGGCAAGTTGCTTAACCCTGTTTGCCTCAGTTTCCTCATCTGTAAAATGAACTGGAGAAGGAAATGGCAAACTATATCTCTATATCTCTTCCAAGAAAACCCCAAATGGAGTAGCATAAAGTTGGAAATGATTGAAAAACAACTTAATAACAAAAAATAAGGTGGAAAGTCATTATCAACATAGGGATAGGGGAAGGTGGAGAGAAAGTGAAGGATTCAAGGACAAGTACACTAGATTGAGAATCAGGAGACTCAATTTCTTGACTGGGCTTTGGTACCAACCTACCATGTGACCTTGGGCTAGAATTTAGACTTAACCTTTCTGTTCCTGTTGGGTTCAATGAGATATGCTCAAGTACTTTCCAGGTAGAAAAATCTCTGAATTAGGCTATCGTGGTTTAGTAGGAAAACAATGGATACTTAGGGTGAAATTAGAAAAGCTTGAAGGAGGGAGTTAGGGAAGGGGTTGTCATTTTAAAGAAACCAACTTCTAATTTTTATTTTTAGTTAATACAGGCACTTTTAATGATACTATACTAGACTTAATACCTTTGGAATTAAAACCATAGAATAGAATGGTGGGACAAGTAAAGACAATATCAGGATTGTCTCTTACCAATTCTGATTAATGTAGTAGCTTAGGAGCTAAGAATAATGTCTGCCTAGATCTAATTATTTAGATTGGGAGGGTTCTTAGCTTGGGGTCCGTGAATTTATTATTTTAATATTTTATTAACTGTATTTCAGCTTATATGGTTTCTTCCGTAAGCTTCTGTATTTGATTTTATGCATTTAAAAGCATTATTCTGAGAAGGGGTCCACAGACTTCACCATACTGCCAAAGAGGTTGATGACACACAAAAAGTTAAGAACTCTTTAATTTAGATCTTTGTAATTGAGGGAGCAAGGAAAGAGAGGAAAATGTAGAACTGTGAGAGCAGAAGAGGGTGTATAAATTTGGTTCCACCGCATTTCTAGCACTAAAAGAGCCCTCTTTCTACCTACTTAACTGGCCCCCATGTGTACTTTGGGTTACTAAGTCATCGTGCACATTTGTTGACAGAACCAGGACTCAGGTTTCTCATTTACTTGTTTCGATCTAATGGTCAACTTATTCAAGTATACTTCCTGAATAAGTTGATCTCTTGCTGGCACTTTCATTTTGTGGGTTGAAAGTCAATTTAAGATCTAGGTCACGCTTGCATTGCATGTAATTTATTTTTCTTCCAGAAATGATCCTCCACTCCAAGATTCAGTGCTGGCCTCTTTTCTCATTCTTTGACCAAGCAGGCTGCTGAACTTCCTGTGGGGATGCCCAGAAATCATCTGACATCAGATTGTTTAGAAATGGACTCTGACATGTCACCCAGCTACAGGCACAGTGACTTGAGCAGAGATGGGAGTCTGGACAGCAGAAGAAGCAGTTCTCGGTCCAGAAGTTTTACCTTGGTGAGTGATGGCAATACCTAATACTTGTACGTATGTGTGTGCATGTGGGTGTAAATCCTCTCTAACAAAATTTTTAAAAAATTAAAATCTATGTGGTTGGGTTTTCTTGTGGAACCTTTCTACCTTACAGGGCCTACCCTTAGGGCAAGGGTGGAGCAGAAAAGGGGATGGTATGTGAGTTCCCTCCTGCCTCCTTGGGTCATTGGACAGGGTCAGCATGTGACATGCTGCTGAGAACAATGCTACTGCCCATCTACTCACAGCTCATAGCACCCAGAGAAGACATGACATTCTCTTGAAAAAGTCCTAACTTCTATTTTAAGACCTGGGCTATAAAAGAAAAAAAACAAACAAAAAAAAACCACAAAAAGGCAGAAGTCTTTGCTTTCTCAGCTATAGTTGGTAAAAAAAGATACCAAACATTGAGTTTATTATTAGGCGTTAAAATTCTTTTGCCTCTTAAACATAATTTAGCTAAATGTGAATTCATATTTAAATATGTTTCAAACAAGGCTAAACTTATGAGGTATCACAGGTATGTACACTTGAGGACAAACACATGAATTCCCTATGCTTCAATCTGCTACTGGCTTGTCTCCTTACAAGTTTTTTTCTCCCTGCCTTCAAAGATAGTCTAATAGGTATGTTTTGGAGTATTCCTGTAAATTTCCCAAAATTATAAAAACATTCTCTCCCAACTATCTCAGCCTCCACTCTAGAGGAAACCAGGTAAAACTCCTTTCCCATGGATTAGTTTACCTTCTCTCAACCTCAAACCACAAATTATAGGCTTCGTCAAAACTCAGCAATGGTCATGTAATTTATTAGTAGTATCACGTAATACAGTTAATACAATGCTGGGGTTCACAGCCAGAGTCACCTCTGTGCTTTAGGAGAACAGGGCTAAAAAGAGTTAACTGATTGGCCTTCATTGTCATCAGCTGTCACATCTACTGGTTTAATCTGGTCTCTGTTCCAGTCTACACCTGCCACATACTTGTCTTCTCTCCTTTAGCTCTCTGGTCCCAATGATAGTCTCATTTTCACCCCTCTGCCTTTCCTATCTGATACACTAAAGTTTAGGTGAGAGAAGTCCTTTATCAAGGTCACTGGCACCCCCAAACAAATTGAGGTTTCCTCAGAATGGATATTAACAGAGAAGTCTGAGGATTCTCTCACCCCCAGACAAAGCCCCTGTGATCCCTGGAAGATCATCCATGTTCTCTCTGATCCTAGATCTTAGCAACCCAGGGTTACACTAAAAACACTGAGATAGATAATCACTCCTTTTTGCAAACAAGGCCTACCCCCTTAAATCAAACAGAGACTTCATTAACTAGCTTTTGAAACTTTGCAAAAGTAAATTTTAGTTTTAGAAATGTGGCTTATCTTCCTCCAAATTCTTTCAATGCTTTGTGTGTATCTCTTACTGCATTTGCATAGAATATAAATGTCTTTTCTCCCGCAAGTCAAAAAACTTTAGGAGAGCAGCAAACATGTACCTATGCAGAAACTAGCACATAGTAGACATTTAGTAGTTGTTGAGCTGAATTTTCTCTTTTTAATGGTTGTTGAATTGAATTTTGCTCTTCTTGGAAGGATAAGGTTCTACATTCAGAATATTAGCCCCACAGTGTCACTAGATCTCTGAAGTTCACCCTAACTCCATCTTCTTATTTGTACTCTAGCGGGAGTTCCAATTCCGTCTTTCCAGGAATTCTGAGACTGGGGGATTTAACCTGTTATACTACATAACAGATACTTGTGTATAAGAAGTCTAAAGTACCTACTGAGAGGAAATTTCAGTGTCTCAAGTCTTCTTAGAAACATAAAGCCACTGGAGATTTTCAATAGGACTACTACATTATGGTAGAACTCTATTTCTATGTTTCCTTTTTAGCACTATTTCACCAAGAGAAAAAAAAAAGAATATTTGTTGATTCACTAGAAGAGAGAAGGTTAAGATGAGCTGATAAAATCAGTATCTGTAGAAATGAATTTCCTGGAATGCCTTAGAATGAATGATTTAGGGGCAGCTAAATGGTATAGTGGATAGAGCAGTCAAGAGGACCTGAGTTCAAATCTGGACTCAAACACTTACTAGCTATATTACCCTGTGCAAGTCACTTAAGCCCAATTGCCTCCCCCCCACCAAAAAAAATAAGAAAGAAAGAATGATTGGAATTGGCTATATATTAGTTTCTAGGATACCATAAAGAATCTCTTGAAGATAGAAACTAGAGAAAATCAACTTGAATCCCCCCCCACACACACACACATTTCTTATCTAGATTTGAAAAACAAATCAGAATGAAAGTATGCAAAATTAAAAACTTCTCCTTTTATCAACAAGACCCTCAACACAATGTGAAAGGCACAGACATTTTAAATTTAGGTGAAGATGATCGAGCATGCCTTAAGTCTTTAATTTAGCATAGTGACCCTCAAAACTGTTGCAGATTAATTTCGTGAGAGACAGCATGGTGTAGTGGATGGAGAGCTCACCTCACAGTCAGGAAAATCTGGGTTCAAGTCCTGCCTTGGATATATACTGGCTGTGTGACCCTGGGCAAGTCCTCTGGCCTTTTAGTCCTGTTGGCCAGTGGGGTCAAACTCAAAGAAAGAGGAAAGCAACTAAATGGTGCCTACGGAATCCCAAAGGCCACATATTGACTTAGAAAATCACAAATGAACACTGTCTATGTTTTATTGTATTTTCATTATTTTTGTTATCTCTTTCCCAATGACATTTTAATCTAGTTCAGGCTCCACTTGGGAGCGTGGCTGCCATGTTTGACCCCTTTGCTCCAGGCAGCTCTCTAACCAAGATTTTCCTTGGTAGAAGGAGTTTCTGCGCCTGGAAGTTCCTGACAACAATGAAATCACTGATCTAGTCCCTATCCTTATCCCTAAAGAACAGTACCAAACCAACAAAGATAATTAAATTTTTAAAAAATACATTAAGTGTGGTTATGTGCTAAACTCTAGGGGAGACAGAGTTTAGATAAGAGGATTATAATCTCCAAAAACTATTGGCAGATATGTTGGAGGTATAATTCTGACATCCTGTTGGGAAAAAAGTAATAAAGACATCCTTCTGAATTATGTCTGTGAGCAGAGGCATAAAAGACTTCCTATGATATGCCCAATATTGTGTTAATAGATGATATAAATGTTATATGTGTTCCTGCCCTCAAGGAAATCATAGAATTTTTGTTGTTGCTCAGTCATTTTCAGGCATGTCCGACTCCTTGTGACCCCATTTGGGGTTTTCTTGGTGAAGATACTGAAGTGGTTTGCCATTTCCTTCTCCGGCTCATTTTACAGATGAGAAAACTAGGGCAAACAGGGTTAAATGACTTGCCCAGGGTCACACAACTAGTAAGTGTCTGAGGCCAGCTTGGAACTCAGAAAGATGAGTCTTCCTGACTTGGGGCCCAGCACTCTATCCTCTATGCCACCTAGCTGCCACTGAAAAATTCCACCAAAATACAAAGCAAAGTCAGACATCCTGAGACTTGATCAGCGGTCCAAGTCTTAAATGCCACAGAAGTTCAGAGAAGATAAAGGAAGAGGGTTGTATAATAGAGCACTTGACCAGGTAGCAAAAAACCTGGCTTCTGGTTCTAACCCTGCCATTAACTTCCTGTGTAGTCCTGGGCAAATTTGCTTAATTCCTTGGGACTTCTTTTTCTCATCTTTAGTCTGAGGGCTTGGCATTGGATAAACTCCAGATCCCTTTCTATCTTATGGGCTGGAATGATATGGGAAACCTTCACTGAGTAGGTGAACTCCAAGCTGCCTTTCTCAGGGATACACAGGCTATCTAGAGACAGAGAGGCACAGATGAGGCGTTTAGGTAGGGGCATCAACAGAAGCTAGTCTGTAGGAGCCAAAGGGCTTGTGGCCCAGTCAGGGAAGAGTGTCTGCGTCAGGGAGGGAGTGGTCAAAAAGAACACTTGAAGGATAAATTGGGGAAGAATTGTAAATAATAGATTTAGAAGTTTGGACTTTATCCTCTTGGTCTTGGGATAGGAAACACTGAAAGTCTGGGAGTGACTGGAAGCAGTTTCATGAAAAAAAAAAAAAAACTATTTCTACTTTATTGGCAAATCTTGGTTTAGTGACCCTAGGGATTACTTACTGATAGAAGCGTTTTTGACCTTGCCTGTTGGAAAGTAAGTACTTCTTCTAATTTTGGTCCTACAGAAGAGATGATGAAACATCATCTTCTCTTTTTAGGATAGAGGTTGGAATACTATGGAAGCAGTACTGTTTACACCGTCAGATAGTTTTGTGATTCTGTTTTGCTTAATTGTTTCTCTTTATTACAGGAGAGGGCTTAATAAGGAGTATAATTAATATAACAATGATTAATGGGGAAATGATTAATATAAAAAAATCACCAACAAAACTTTTTTTTAATTAAAGAAGTAAATTATTTTGACTCCATGGACTGATAGGGGCCTCTAGAAATATTGACTATATTTCTCCTGGTCACTGCTGAACTTAAGAATCTATACTCACTCTTCCCTGCTCTTTGACAACCCACTATGTCCTCAATCCCTTATAATCTGACTTTTGTATGAGCTACTCTTTTCAAAGTCACTGGTAACTTTTAGTGGTGAAATCCAAGGTGTTTTGTTTTTTTTTCTTAGCCTTCTCTTTTCTCTTCAGAGTCTATTCCTTGGTGATATCACCATTATTAGTTAGTCAACAAGCATTCGGTGAGTGCTTATTATGGGCCAAACACTGTACTAAGTGCTGGTGATTCAAAGAAAGGCTAGGACATGATCCCTGCCCTAAAAGTAAACACATTCTAATGTGTGAAAAAACATGCCAATGACTGTGTGTATATGATGTGTATAGTGTAAATGGGAAGTCATCTCAGCGGGAAGATGCTAGCAGTGGACAGAGCTAGGAAAAGCCTCTTGTACAAGGTGGGATTTGAGAAATCTTGGAGGAATCCACAAGGTGGAGGTGAAGAGGGACAGCATTTCAGGAACGCGTGACATTCATTGAAAAGTCACAGAGTTGGAAGATGGGGGTCACTTATTCAAGGAACAGCAAGGAGTCTAGTATATTGAGGACAGTAAAGTGTAAGAAGACTAGATGGGTAGGTAGTGAAGGGTTTTAAGTTGGGAAGGGCTTTAAGAATCTACCTAAGGATTTTGAATTGAATGCTAGGAGAATTAGGGAACCATTGGAATTTATTGAATAGGGAGGTGACATGATCAGACCTGCACTTTAGTAAGATCACTTTGACAACTGAATGGACTAGACTAAAGAGAGATAAAGCAAAGATATTAACTAAAAGGCTACTTCAGTAGTCCAGGTGAGATGTGTTAAGGGCCTGCTGCCCTAGTCTGGTGGCTTTATGAGGGGAAAGAAGGGGAACCTACTTGAGAGCTGTGAAGGTAGAAATGAAAAGACTTGGAAACATTGGATATTTGTAGTGAGTGCTAATAAAGACTTAAGGATGACACAAGCTATGAGCTTAGGTGACTGGAAAGGTGATGGTATCATGGACAGTAATCAGGAAACTGAGAGAAAGGGAGAGTTTGGGTTCTGTTTTGTACAGGTTGAGTTTGAGATGTATGTAGGACATTCAATTTAAGTGTATAATAGTAAGTTATAAGAGACTGAGAGTCAAGAGAGAGGTTAGGGCTGGATAAGTAGATTTGAGAATCATCTGCATGGAGATAATTAAGTTTAAAGCAAGCATTCAAGGTAATGATATTTTTGGAGGTTATCTGTTTATTGCTGCTGTTCATAAGGTAATGGGTACTTGTATAACTAAATAATCTGATAAAGATAATAGAGTTTGACTTAAAATTTTGAAATTACTGCTTTTCTGCCAAAGGACTCAAATGCACTTCAAAAATATCTCTTACTGTGGTAGAAGCAATATCTTAACCCCTCCCCCATGCAGGTTAGGCTAATTTTTCCTTAAAAGGTATCAAGGTGTTGTATAAAAGAAGTTAGTGCTGCCCCTGGTAAGGGTGAAAGAGGTCCTAGTGGCCTTACCAACATATATACAGCTAAGTTGTTGCCACATACTCTGTGGCATTGGACCATGTTTTTAGATAGGGTAAGGTAATGAACTATGCAGTGCCAATCTGTCTGACTCAAGATGAGAGGGGATGGGAATGAGAGGAGAGGCCACTGGGCAAGGATGCAACCTGCAGCTAGCTCAGGGACGTAAGAAGAAAGGAATTTCTAGCATGTTGCTTTAATGCCTCTCAGACTCAGTTCACTGGAAGATCAAGAGCTGTTTTAACTACACGCTACGCAAGTGTGAAAAGTGGGACTGTCCTGAGCATTCTCTGCAGAGTGGCGGCATGGGAGAGCTCAAGAGGAGGCCAACCTGAGGAAAGGCTGTTTGGAGATGTCTAAGAATTTGGCATTGGGTCAATTGGTGATCAAGATGGGATAATTTTTTCCCTCCTCCACTCTGACTACTGACCTCTCTGGCTTCCTTTAAGTCCCAGCTAAAATCTTACCTTCTACAGGACACCTTCTTCAATCCTTCCTAACTCTAGTGCTTTCCCTCATTTAATTACTTTCTATTTATCCTGCATGTAGTTTGCTTTGTTTCTGTTTACATTTTGTCTCTCCCATTTGATTGTAAAGTCTTTGATGATAGAGACTGTCATCCCTTTTTTTAAAAATCCCCAGGGCTTAGCACAGTGCCTGGCAAAATAGCAGGCACTTAATAAATGGTGACCTATTAGTTAATAGATACTAAATCTCTAGCTTTTGAGCTTAAGTGCCTCATTGTATCTCTAATATTCCTGTCTAACATTTGGTGTGACCATCCTCAACCCTAACCCCTCTCCCTGTTCCTGTATCTGTCTGTGCTCTGGGTGGCATCTACCTCCTTCAACCGAGAGGCTCAGTTGCCAGGTACATGCTATGAATGGAAGAATGGTTGGTCTTAGTGGTTGTCAAATGTTTCTTTTTGCTTTAATTCTGCCTTAAATGGTTTTTATTGAACAAATGGATGCTTTTTGCCCCGGTTGGTGATGAATGTACAGCTGCACATATCATCTGATTCTTTTTTCAACCACATTAATTTGCAACCTCCTTTATGTACCTCAAAATACTCCTTTGAATAAAATCTTTATGAATCTTAAGGAAAAATGGGATTGAGACATTCCTTAAAACAAAGAACTAACTGGTGGATCTCTATGGGTAATTCAGGCAAAGGAGCTTGGCTTAGCTCAATCAACCTGAGGTATCCTCAGTGCTTATCCTTGCTGATTATCCTTCTCTTGCTATGGATAAGCCCAGAACATTTAACTTTATAATAGCGGCTCTCAAACTTTTTAGTTTCGGGACCCTTTTACATTCTTAAAAATTATTGAGGACACTACCCTCGCCAAAGAGCTTTTCTTTGTATAAGTTATATCCATCAGTATTTACCGTATTAAAATTTAAAGCATCTTAGTATAAATTTGAAAATAGTTTTGAACTTGTAGACCCCCTGAAAAGGTCTTGGGAACAAATCCCTGGATTACATTTTGAAAATTACTGTTTTACAACATCTACATGAAGGAACAGAATAAGGTAGCAGATGTTATCTAAATCTAAAGAGGCAGAAACTGAGGTATTAAAGTACAACATGATTTGTTCCAAGCTCACTCAAAAGGTCATTGTAAAAGGCAAGAAGAGAATGGACCCACCTATTGCCACCTAATAGCTCAGTGAGCTGATGAACAGACCAAGCTCTGTTATCAATGATGTTATTTTTATATTTTATCCACAGTGTGGTCTTTACTATCACCTTACATTCAGCAGTAAAATCTGAGAATCATAAAGTCGGAAACAGCTTTGTCGTATCCCTCTGAGCTCAAAACTTACAGTTGTCAGGTCAGCTTGGTAGGCCCTTCCACACACCTTGGAAAAATATCTCACAATCCACGATACCACCTACTCTCTTTTATTTTACTTTTGGCAAATTTTTTATTCATTTCCAACTTAAATACAAAATGAGAAAAAAAAAAGAAAATTTCCATGTACACAGAAAAACATAAGAGAAGATTCAATATAAAACAATTTCCATTTCAAGAAAATCTATATAATAAATACTATACACTGTTTTCAAAGCTACCCTGCTTTTCTTTGCTTCCTTATAGGTTTTCTTTTGTTGTCAACTGTGCACTTTTTACCTTTATTTTTCCCCCTCCCTCCCCCACCCCCTCTCCCTTAAGAAAGCTACAATTAAATGCATACAACACATATACATAGATATCTATAAACATATACCTATATACACACATATACACTCATAAACATGTGTATATATATATATATATATATATATATATATATATATATATATA